AAAACATAAAGATTGTATTGTGCCATTTTGAAGGGGTGAATTTTCCTACCTGCTTTAAAAATCAGCATTCAAAATTCTGATTTTTACCAAGGCTTGAACATTTCGTGAGAATAACGTAATTCTCTTAGAAACCCATTGATATTGCATATTTTCATTTAACTATTTTTTCTTATTTAAACTTCTTTCTTATAATTAATCTTTCTTCCTTTTTGTCATATTTTATTTCTTGTTCTTTCATTCTATATTTCTTTTTTTTTGTTTTTTCGTTTTTATTCGTGTTTCTTTTTTTGTTTTCTTTCATTCATTATTTATATATTGCTAGCATCTTTCTTTCTTTATTCCTTACATTTTTGTTTTGTTTCTTATTTCTTTCATGTATTCTTTTTCTTTGCTTTTCTTTCTCTTTCATTCAATCTTTATTTTACTCCTTTTTTATATTCTTATTTTTTTTTTGTTTTGTTGCCATCTCTTTCTCACTTTCTTTTTATTCTTGTCTCTTTCTTTATTTTTTCTTTCGTTTTTTCTTTCTGATTGTCATTTTTTTCTTTCTTTCTTTCTTTCTTTCTTGTCTTTCCTTTCTTTTGTTTTCTTTCTTTGTTTTCTCTTTCGTTCTTTTTTTTTTCTTTTCTTTTCTGTCTTTCTTTACTACTGGCAAAGACGCAACTATCTCATCTACCAAGTGAGATTTTTGTCTTTTTTCCTGCAAATGGGAAGGGATGATCTGCTTTAAAATTCAACATTTTAAACCAGAATTATTACCTGGAATTAAGCCAGAGTTAACTCGAAATGACATTTTTAACACCCGTCATAATAATATTTAATTGCCTTTTGTTTAAATTTGGTCTTGAAACCCCAACCATACAACTATTAGGTTGTTTCTGCTCGCCATTATATGCAAAGCCTTCAATTAGGCAGTATTTTTCAAAACAAACACAAGAAAACTGAGCATATTTTCTTTATTTGCACACACACACACACGCATACACTTTGTTTATATTGTGACGGTTGATAGGAAAGGTAGGAAAAGAAAGCGAGAAGAAAGGACGAATCATTAATTGTAAGAAGAGGGACAGATCAAGATGGAGACGTTAAACTCAAGCAAGGACAGATATTTGACTGGAAAGTGTTCTAACAAAAGACAGAAAATGTAGAACAGAAATCCGATGGGCAGTGGAATGGCGAAAGGTGACTTCTAAACACTAAACAAAGTATTAAGGGACAATTTCGTTAGAAACAAAGGAATGCTTAAATTTCTTGTGGTTCCTAAATAAATCCAATTTATTTATTTAGGAAGGGTAAGATCTTATAGGATACAAATCCTATATTCCAACAAATGACTAAAAAAACACAAAGTAGATTTGCACAACCGCAAAATCGGATCAAAACGACCAAAAACAGATTTCACAATAAGGTGTGAAATTAATTTTCTGACCAATGAAAGGAGGCGATTTGCTAAACCAAAAAAAAAAAAAAAAGATAACGAGCCAGTGTGAAAAAAAGTCAACAATAAATACAGAGTTTTCAAGTCAGTCGCCAGTCAGTCAGAAGGGCGCAAAGATCACAGAAGATTGACAGTAAAATTCATCACTGACTCAACCCGACACTAAGAGCCGAAAGTGGATTAGGAAAGCACAACAACAACAACAACAAATTTACAACTGACTCCAGAACAATTCATAAGTACATTTTCCTTTTATCTTTATTCCTCATTCACACTCTCTCTTTTTTTTTCAACTTAAATTGATCGCCCCTTTTTCCTTTACACATATACAAAAACAAAAGAAACACATTACTCTGCTACTCTGTTGAAAGACAACGAACACAGACATTTTTATCAAAATCACATTTTTACTTAAACGAACTAAAGCATTAATCTTTTTTACCCTATTCACAAGATAATAAATATACAATGTTCTATTTTCTACAAACGTTCCTTATCGTGTTGTTCATTCTTGAAAGTTGCGTTGTATTTTGTGGGCAGGGTATCCCGTATTAAATTCTCCTTTAATCCGGGTACGCTGAACCCCACAATCTTTTTTGCCAATCAGATAATATCAAAACTTTTATATGGAAGTGAATGCTGAACATTTTTCTCACAGATGAAGAGGAAATTTTTGGCAAGGGACTCCGGAGAGAGTTTTGTTCTGCAAAAGAATATCATCGAGACTACCATGGACAGAGCATTTTACATCTGTGGGCAAAGGGGATACAGGTGTGCAAAATAAGTCATCTCCCCTCAAGGATGCGTAAACGATCTTGATGATTGGGTAGCTACTGTCCAAATATGACAGCTATATGGACGAGGAGCAGACAAAAAAAAGATAAATAGATGGGAAAACGGGGTTTAGTGGTGAGTAACAAGGAACACGATATTTATGCTCAGAATGTTATCAGAAAGAGCAATACAAATGCAGAAATACGTGTACCTGTGTTTTATAGAATACACAAAGGCATTCAACAAAGTACACCACAAAGATCTGTTGGAACTGCTCAGAAACTTCGACATATTTGGGAAGGATATTAGAATAATTAAGAACTTATACTGGCGGCAAATCGCCTGCATACCTGATAAAAAATGAGTTCAACAGATGTACAAAAATAGAAAGCGGTGTATGACAAGGATGTCTCTTCTCAACGGACTTATTCAATCTATACAGCGAAGCGATTCTGAGAAAATTAGAAATCCGACTAGGATTC